TTTTTGACTATCTTATTCAATTAGACCTTTTTTTATATTTTTATGGTAGTTTTAAAATGTTTGCATGTTATAGAATTATTTTTGGGTCTCTACAATGTGCTTATAAAAACAGAAAAGTTGTTTAGAACGTAGAGTTTTACATATTTCAGTTTCAACGAAGTCAGTGAGGCAATCCCCTTGATGTATAATTATTTAACAGCTTTTTACAAATATCACTAAAACCATTAGTATGCGCAGGAAAAAGTTTACACCAAAAGAAGTTATTCGAAATAAAACGCAATCTAATAGTTTAATATACAATACTTCTCAAAAGAATAAAGGGGACAGTGTCTTTTTGCAAAAATTGGTGAAGTTTGAAGTGCTGTACCTTTGCAAGGGATTAGTACATATCTAGACACGAGGAGAGAAGCACATTAAAGCTAATTTTTTACAGTATAAATAAAAATTCGAAGAAAATGTAAATTTTCTTTGTACCGTCATTGGTCCAGATTATTTGCAGAGGATTAAGCCGAAATTAGTACTAGCCCAAACATTCTTGAACAATAAGTTGTAATATTTCAAACCAGCAGCAGCATAAGTGTGCTTTCTTATGCTTCATTTTTGCTGTCCCTCTTCTTTTTCGACGTTATTATGTTGGGAAAAGAAGCAAATCCCTGATTTGTGCTTAATTGATTTTACATAAGTACAAGGTAGAAGTAAAATAACTCTGGAGGTCAAAATTCCTCGAGTAGTCATGTGTCTTCATTGCTTATTTGTCCTTCTATATTTACTGGTACTATTGCTAAACTCGTAAAAAAGGTTTTGGATTGAAAAACAAAATGCAAAAAAATTGTTTGCGATCCATTATCAGCATTAGAATTACCTAAAGTGGATCACATAGAAGTTGCACGGTCGGATTTAAGTTTCTTTATGTGTTTGTGAATATGCTTTAAGTAATTGTAATGCTACAAGTTGATAGTGGAAAAGATAGTGGATCGCAAAATACGTTTCTAAATTTTTTCTTTTTTTTTTTCAAACCAAAACTTTTTTTACAAATTCAGTAACAGTACCGATAAATGTAGCGTAATAAACTTTTTTATCCAATAAACGGAGTCATAGTTCGAGACAATAATGACGTGCCTTTAATTTTTTCCCACAAATTTCAAAGTTTGATCATTCGGGCCATGGGATACAAAGAATCAGAGCAATTTAAAACTTTGCACACTTTTTGTGGACACTATGAACTTAAAAAGAAATTCTAGACATAATCTTTGCGATGGCTATTTACAAAGATATAGTAATGTTTTTAATTTAAGGAAGAAACGCTATTTTTTGACGTTTTTTTTTTTACATCGATACCACACATCAAAGAAAAATATTGAACCGAAAATTGATTTGCCTATCTTAGAGGGTACTATTAGCTTCCCAGAATCGCCCTTACAATTTCTGTTCGATGGTGGGTTCACGATATAATGACTATAAAAAAAGACATCATTTTAACTTTGGTAGCTCATAACTTCGCAATCAATATTCGAAACGAACCCCATCGAAGTGCAAATTAAAAAAATTGTCCTGCGTTTGTAGAAATTAAAAAAAAATTTTCCATCACGGATTTTCGTTTGTTTCATGAGCAAAAAAAAATTAATAAATTTGGAAGATAAAGAATCGAACACTATAAACACCTGAAATTTCAAAATAACTATTCTACTTTTTTCCTACAATGATTTTTAGCGAGCGCAAAGCAATTTGAATGTGACCTAAAAATTACTGGAATTTTTCTGTTCCTTTAATTCTTTTGATTATTTTATTATTATATCATCGCTTTGAATCCCCTTTGAATGCGATTCACTGAACAGACAAAATATTTAAACAGAGAAAGCTTGTTCTGCTTATCTTACCATGTTTGTTATCACTGTCACGAGGCCTCTCTTCGTGACACACTGTGTAACACAAGCTTCTTATAGTCGGCTCTGGCCTTGGATTTAAAAAAATTTTTTTAGACTTAAAATAGTCAAAACCAATATCGTTTATAAATTCAACGCCGTGACAAACAGTGCAGTGAACATCTCCAATCGTGTTACCTTTTCTTTTTACTTTATTGACAAGCACATTTGCGTATTATATTATAACCATTTGTAATAATTTTCTTGAGAAAAGGATTAGCTGTATCACATAATACAATGTTGCTTTTCATTAAACTTTTACTTCTTAAGATAAACTTAATAATAACTTGAAAAATGCTTTAAAATGAGTAGTTTTGTTTTTGTGTGAACAAAAATTGATAATCGGTTATAAGTATATCATCATATTTGTTTGTAATTGAAAAAAATACATTTATTTTTTTAAATCTAATCTCACAAACTGTGATCCATTGCGAAAAATGTGTTGCATATTCATAACCATCAGAAGAAATTCTGTATGTTATATGTATACTATGCAGATCAAAGGACTAACCAACTAAAGTCACTGCGATAAAGCATGTGAACTGTGATAACGTAAATGAGTAGGAGCAACTATTCCTGTTAGACGACCCAATTCCTGGTAGAAATGCTGCTATCGGTTACTGGGGAATTATCGGTATCTTATTCGCATTTATTAATATGCATATTGATAATATCGTGTTACAACATCGTTAAGACTGATGAAAATGACTCAAATAAAATGTAATGTCTAATTTTACCACTAAACATTATTTACTCTTATTTTAACTTATTTTAACTTACTCTTATTTTAAGTTTTTAAATCTAACTTAACTTAACCAAAGTTACATTCTTGTTCGAAATTTAAAGAGAAATTTATAGATTTGAATTATAAAATTATATGCAATTTTTTACTGTGGTTATTTTACTGGTCGCTTTACCGTACTCTTAATCTATGGATTTATCAATAATATTCTTATATTATTCAAATTTATTAACGATGTCGATAAGAGTACCTGTATCTCGCTAACGGTATTAATTATAGTGTTTTCCACTTCTGAGTCCCTAAGACCACCAGGATTCGAATAATATTAAAAATGATTTGAAGTTGGAGTGTGCTTGAATTACTTAAAAATTAACAAGAAAGAACTTTGAAAGAATCAAGGAAAGAATCCCGATTAAAATCTTAAGATACGCCATATTAAAATTATTGAAAATTGAATATAAAATTTAGGTACATCAACTTAAAAACATATAAACGTTATATGTCTAAATTTAACAATTTTTTATTTTTCAGTCAGTCTGTTAATTTGGAAAATTTTATCTTGATTATGTCATATTGTGCAACATTAAACATATATAAAAATTTGTTTTTATCTTTAATAGAAGGTTTTATTCGAAAAAGTGCGTAACTAACAAAGGAATATATCGAACCGACACACATCGATTTCAATGAAACTTCTGTTGAAAGTAGTTCTCATGAAAATATATGACACGTATTTTTTTATGTCGACCATCGTTCACATTAAAGGGGGTGATAGCCCTCAAAGTTAAGGACTAAAATCATATTTTTTGGAATATCTCCGGAATTAAAGGAAATAATTGAAAGCTGTTTCTTTGAATTGTGGGACTTTTAATGGAAAATTTTTTTGCATACAAAATTTTAATAAACTTTATTTGTTTAAATAATATTTAAAAAATTTATCATTTTTGTTTAAATTTTTGTACTAAATGTTGTTCTATTTTTTTTGTATACTTTGTGTATGTAAACTATGGACTAAAATGAGTCCAGAGGATACGTGTTTTTGGAATTTGTCGTTTACAGTAATGTTTATTAAATATATGTATAATTTAAAATCACCTCCTGTGAAGAGGGGCAAACAGCATCTTTATTAAAAATATCATTATTTTTACAATCTTTTACAATATTCTGGACATTTTATACCTCTTCGCATGACGTTAATTGATTTCTCAATAGTTATTGTAAGCATCGCAGGTATGAGCGTGACGCGATTATAATCATCACGACAAGGAATATAGACTTTTATGGCCAATACTGATTTTGTACTTTTACGGCCGTAAAATCTTCGGTCGAAATGCAATATTTATAACTTTTGGAAACTTTGGGATGTTTAAGAAATTAAGAAAAAAAATTAAATTAAATTATTTTTTAACAATATTGGCCATAAAAGCCAATGTACACAATATTGGCCACAAAAGTTTACGTACGCAAAGTTGCAAAAAAATAAATCAACATTTAGTACTAAAATTTAAACAAAAATTATAAATTTTCAAAATATTATTTTTTCTCTGTTAAAAGATCCACGATTAAAAAAAAAATCTTCCAATTAACTCCTTTAATTCCGGAGATATTCCCGAAGCCCTTGACTTTGAAGATTATTATCACCCCCTCAATGTGAATGATGGCCGATATAAAAAAATATGTGTCAAATAATTTCTTGAGAATTATCTTTCACACAAGTTTCTTTGAAATCGGTGTGTCCCGGTTCGACATGTTCCCTTATAAGTTTAAAAGAAAAAACTGAACGTTTGTCTAATTTTGGCCGGCCATATCTAGTACTAATCATTCGTACGGTCGCATAGGTGTTAATTGATTAAAGAGTATAACATAGTCTACAAATGAAATTATGTTATTATATCCATTCATAACGAAGTTTGTTATATTTTATAAATCTGTGCTGCCAAAAATCTGTATCTCATCCAGAGTTGCACTTTAGTTGTTTAGAACGTTACTGTAAATTATTAGATATCTGTCGAACGGACATATTCATTGATGTTTAATGTCTCAGACTTTTATCTTCAATGCATTGGAGATAAAACCATTCACACACAAACCTAAAAGAGATAGCTTCAAGACGGCTGTAAATCTTGCATTCAATAGGCACATAATTTCCGGTGTACTATTATTAAATTGAAAATAGGTACCTTCTATGTCTTTATTGTATTTATTTATGTATTTTTATGTGTTTATGTATATATTTATTCTACAAATTTAATTCTACAAATTTAATTAACTTAAATTTAAATTAACTGCATTTGGAAAACACTTTTTCTAAATACATTATAAATCTTGTTTAATAGCAAAAACTGGTGGCAAGCGGAAAATGGCGTAGAAAATGTAACAATACGTTTCGATTTAGAAGCAGAGTTTCATTTCACCCACATCATCATTCGTTTTAAAACCTTCCGACCAGCAGCTATGTTGATTGAAAGATCTTACGATTTTGGAAAAACCTGGAAGGTATATCGATACTTTGCCCATAATTGCGAACAATACTTCCCGGGAGTATCTACAGAGCAACCGCAAACACTAACCGATGTCATCTGTGAAACGAGATATTCTGGCGTGGCGCCATCGACGGGTGGTGACGTTATCTTCAGGTAGATAAACAGTGATAAAAAATGATAGTTCAATGCACAGTAAGGCAATGTCTAATAACTTCAGTATATGGAGTGAATGAAAATCGTTTCAAACAATTTTCAAATTTACGTCATTTTCAAAATGTTGTACTGCATTGCTATTTTCGATTTTTCAAACAGAACCGTATATTTTTTTACATTAATCAAATTTTTGGGGGCGTTGTATGTAAAAAAGTACTTTGATTTAGTGTTAAATCGTTAGTAACATTTGAAATATCACAAAGTATTGAGTTTAAATTCTACCGTTATATATTTACACGCAAAATATTCCAAACAATCAGATTATGTAAAAAAATATATAGGATTCCTTTACAAAATACTTTCTTTAAAATGGACTTCTACAATTTTTGTTTGAAACATTTTTTCATATAGTAAGTATTTATGGTTTATTTGAAGTTGTTAAGTTATAAGATTTATCTTGTATAAGATAAATGTATTAAACAACGCTTAATGTAAATGATATAGCGTAAGTAATTATTTAAGAATATAAAAAGAATGATTTTTATTATTTATTTATTTTATAATAGAATTGTATACTTTGTTTAATTTTATCGAAAAATGAGAATTTTAAAACTATGAATATCTAGCTTGAGTTGTATATGTACGTTTATCTTTTCATTTTATATTATTTTGTTGTTATATTTGAATCACAATAATTGTCACTTTAAAGACTATAAAATCATATTTTATTTATTCTAATAAATGAAACCGCATATATGTTAAATACTATTATCATTTTCAGAGTTCTACCTCGAAATCTTGAGATCGACAATCCGTATTCAAAAGAAGTGCAAGATCTTTTAAAAATCACGAACCTTCGCATAAATATGACCAGATTACATACTTTAGGAGATGATTTGTTGGACGATCGCGCCGAAATTCGGGAAAAATACTACTATGCGATTCAAAATATGGTGATCCGTGGTTCTTGTTCTTGCTATGGTCATGCTTCAAGATGTTTACCTCTTCCTGGTGTCGCTGACGAGGAGAACATGGTGCACGGTAGATGCGAGTGCACACATAACACCACAGGATTGAATTGCGAAAAATGTCAAGATTTTTATAATGATTTACCATGGAAGCCAGCCGTTGGAAAACAAACGAACGCATGTAGACCATGTAACTGTAATAATCATTCCACCTCATGTCACTTTGATGATCTTGTTTACGAACAATCTGGACGCGTATCTGGTGGCGTTTGCAATAATTGTCAACATAATACTGAAGGACGAAACTGCGAACTGTGTAAACTGTTCTATTATCACGACGTGACTAAGGATATATCTCATCCTGAAGCGTGTTTGCGTACGTTTATGTTTTATTAATATCTTTTTATCCATACATGGTTAAATTTGTGTGGAATTATAGTTCAATAGATACACGTTGGGTCCATTACATTTGATATCATTCAGAGCAACAGTTCAGCATAAATATGTACTCGCTAATAATATTACCATCATTATTAGCATCAGTAGGTTCGATTTGGTAACCACCAATAACACACGATTTATAACCGCGTTTAAATTCTTTTCAAATAACACCAAGTGTAAAGTAAATGAGCATATATGATCATATGAGCATAGTTTGAACTGGGCATAGTAGCTAAGGTAGTGCTGAACTAGTTTTTTCTTCATAGAAATCTTCCTTAAGATTTCGTTTTTGAATTACTAATGAAAGATGCTAATCGAGAAATTTGCATAATGAACATAAATCTACCAATAAAGCTAATTTGGGTTAAGATTAAGTAAAAATCAAGAGTTGAAATCTTTTAATTAATTTGTCGCGTTCGTGATCTACATCGGTGCATAGGCAATCGTTGGTGAGTCTGCGCGTTATACGCATTCTTCTTGGTCGGTGTTTGTGACTAATAATTTAAAAATTAAGCTTTAATGGACATTGTGGTAAAGAAAAACATGTTCCCAACTATCATACCCTGCAATTATGCCTATAGACAGTAAACATACTGTCGCATATTTACGACATATCGCATACTGTCGCAAATGCGCATATTTAAGTTCGAAAAAAATTAGATATGCTCCAAAAAGTGTTGGATTTCACGTCAAATGCTTGGTACTTTTAATTCAGAATTGATTGTTCTGTTACTTGTAATCAGTTTAAATATTAGTTCAAAATTTTTATGCTATACATGTATTTTCAAGAAGCAGTTATAACGTTGATATTAGTTTGTTAAGGTTTCATGTATTTACCAAATGGTATTCCTGATTCTTCTAAGACAAATGTGTTTATAACAATAAAGTCTTACTATTTGCCAATGCCTCGGGCCTCTCGAATGCTAACTATTAGAGTAGCCATGAGATTTGGAGCATATGTATATTTTTTGAATACGGTTATATATATGACCATATCTTGGAGTAAGCATTCAAATGGTGCTGTATACAATGTCGGGTTGAAAGGAAAAGAATTTTCTCAGTTTTCCTTCCTATTTTGTATATTATTCGGATTAATAGATGATTTATACAGAGAGAAAGACTGAGATACGTTTCCTTTCTTTTCACCAATTGTTTCAGGTTTTCAACATTGATTGTTTACTTCAAAGGTATGTGTCTTGAGCTTACAAATGTTTAAATGTTTTATTCAAGCACATGTCACAAAAAACGTATATGTACGAGTAAAAAAAGTACCAACGATAGTTCTATGGTGAGAAGAAAAAAAAACTTGAACAAGCAAGTGGGAACTTGTGTAGTGATGATGGTTGTTTGCCAAGTATAGAATAATAGTATAATTGTTTCATGAAGTTACTGTATGTAGGCGTTCATAATTATATTAAGCATTTTGATGTCATTTACAGCTTGTGATTGCGATCTTAATGGTTCCTTGGATGACGGTATATGTGATTCGAGAACTGACCCCCTTAGTGGAGGCGAATCTGGTCGTTGTCGCTGTAAAGCAAATGTGGAAGGTCGTCGTTGCGATCGCTGCAAAAATGGATATTGGAATTTTGATCCTGCAAATCCCGAAGGATGTCAAGGTAACAGCTGCAAATATATCAGTGTTATAATAATCTCGCTAACATTTCGACTTGTGATCACTAAAAGTGGGTACCATAATAACTAGAATTGGATTTTATAAAATATTTAACTATTTATTTAACCATAAGATACAACACTGAAAGTTTAGTTACGTAATTACAGTCCAATCTTGATAACTCGGACTTTTAATCTAGAATTCGAACCTGCAATGTATAGAACTTTCGACTTATCGAAAGTTGTGAGCATAAAATAATTTTCAGAAAAAAAAATACACCGACTTCGAAATGCACTAAAAAGTATAAAATAATTTCTATTTCCTAATGAAGTAATTTCTATTTCATTCAATCATACAATTACGTAACAGATATGAATGAAACCTATTTACTCGTTAGGTAGTATATTAAATACATTTCAACCTTTTCGGAGGCGGCGCAAAATTAAAA